ACATCTCTCTCTCTCTCTCTCTCTAACTGAGCTGGGAGGGTTACGTAAACCCTAAACACTAAACCGCGCCTTGATGTCAACCTTTCTCCTGCTAAGTTTAGGAGCGTAGGAACCTCCTGGTGCGGGGGGTTGATTGCGTAAGCCTAACGGCTCAAGACACGCTAGTACATTCTTGGAATATCCGATCCTATACTCTCCTATACTATACTATAGCCTATACCGTAGCCTCAATATCAGTTTGGTGCTAAGGAATTCGTGATGCCTGCTGTCGTCGCATGTAGCATACTCGTGTGCATTGCTCAGCTGTTTGTTCACAAGCATCAGTACTGTTGGCCAGAGATGGGTGTATGAGTTGGTGCAAAACGGCTTACATCAGTTTCCAATGATCCACGTAGGAGTCACCCTAAGCCCTAAACCCTAAACCCTATCAGCCTTGGCATGCTCTCAGGTCCTGAGCTACCTGCACCGGTACGTCCGGAAGAAGCCAGTTAGCATCTTCGGAGATGACTCTCCCGGGGTCCTAACGAGCAGATTCATGAAAGTGATGCTGCGGATGATCATCATGAACTCGCCAGAAGACAGCCCTCAGGAGCCTTCTTTCTGCAGGGGTTATAAGAGGAGATTCGAAGTTACTGGTTTTTGTGCCCTTCACCTCTACACCCTTGCAGCCGCCGCAGGCAGAGTCGCAGGAGCTTCGTGGAATGCTTCAAGATGCCTCTGTGATTACCAAGCAGTTCTCGCCTCTTCGGCTATTGGTTCTCGTGACGTTCAGCCTGATTCCCGCGCTGTTTCCGGCCATCTGCCGCTTTATCAGCGGGAACGACGACTTTATGCTGTCTGACCACACCAATGTGTGGCGTTGCCGGAGGGCATACTTGTTCATGGCCTTTTTTACAACTATGATGCTGATCAGCACCTGTCATGATCTCATCGAAAGCCTTGACAAAATCCAGCTCTCCACTCTAGCAACCATGTACCTCGCTGCCCCCAGAAAGCGCCGCGCAGTCTTGGTGGCAATATACAAGGCACGCTTTGACAAGCTCATCCTGCATGCGGAGGGCGCAAAGGAATCCGTGCCCCTCGTGGAAGCAGAAGCTGAGCTGCTGCAACGTGAGGTTGGGGTAAAACTGGGCTGCAGACATTCAGGATTTAGGGGTTTAGGGTTTAGGGTTCAGGGTTTAGGGTTTAGGGTTCAGGGTTTAGGGACCTGAACCCCAAACCTTGGTGAATGCGCCCTGGAGGATGCCCCAAATCCTGATGACGTCACCGCGCCGGCGCTGCTTTCGCGGGGCTTCGGCCATCTCAGATGCTCAGAGTGCGCTAGAAACTGTTTTAGTCTTTGTGCAGTGACTCCCAAGACAGGTTTCGGGCCCTAAGCCCTAGACCCTAAACCCTAAACACCCTCGATGTCATCACCTCTCGGCCAGGGATCCGCCCTGCCGACTTTCCATGGACACCTGCTAAGCTAGAGTAATCGTCTCCCTCTAATATTACACGGCCCCCCCCTCCAATAAAACTCGGAAAATATGTTTATCACTAGGGGTATGGCTCTTATGGCTCTTGCTCCCGCACTGGCTTTTGCTCCCGGTCCTGCTGCGTCTCTTGCTCTCGCTCCCGCGCTTGCTCTTACTCGTGCTCCTGCGCTTCCTGCCGCTCTTGCTTTTGCTTTTGCTCTTTCTCCTGCCCTTGCTCTTGCCTTCGCTCTTACTCTCCGGACCCCGCTAATGCAAATTAGGTTTTAACTTTCTACAGGGCACGGATGATTTCGGGAGGATTGGCCTCAAAGTGTTTATTATTATTTTTCTAGTATTTTTCAAGTATTATTCTTATTCTTATTATTACTATTATGGGGTTTTATAAATGGGGGGAAGTGATTAGAATGATACCCAACCTAACGTGCGCGTTATAGGGCACGTGTTCTGGTGCACAATCGTTAGAAGTTGCTGCGGCATGCTACCATGTCTGTTATAGCTGCAGCTGCTGCTGCTGCTGCTGCTGCTGCTGCCAGGAAAGCCTTTGATGACACTTATGTACGGTTTCGGGTTTAGGTGACTATATGCCATACAACTCTGTGATCATCCTGATGGTGGCTACGGGTATAGGTGATTTTGCATGCTTGATAAGCTGCATAATGGTACGGTATTGCAGTATCTGGAACCCTGCTGCGGACTCGCTGCGTCGGCTTATCAAAAGCAATCCCGCTAACGAAGCCAAGGATTCGTTTTATCCAGGCCGAGCTGGTTAACTTCGGGAAGCCCTCGTGCGTCAGAGGACCCGGCCAGCCCTGAACCCAGGACCGGATCTAGCATTCTCATCGTATACGATAGTTGTGTTATTATGGTGTAGACTATCGTATATTATTGGGTATAAAACTATGGTATACCATAGTGTTATCACAGTAGACGATAGTATACTATTAGGCATAAAACCCCAATCCCAAGACACCAGAACTATGCGCCCCTAAGCCGCCAAACACCCTGAAGCCCAAGGGCCTTGTTGCTTGGCTTCGGTTCGTGCGCTGGGAGGGATGAATTGAACTAGAATGGGCCGGGAAGTTAGGGCGTAGGGCTGAACCCTAAACTCTAAACGCTAAGCCCTATAAGGTTTAGGGGTTTAGGGTGAGGGCTGTTGGGGTTTAGGTGTACTTATATAGGGCAAACCTGGGGCCAAGAGCAGGTACGAGTCTAGAGTGCACGGTTCTTGTGGCTGTAGGCTTTAGGAGGTATCCGCCAAAACCCTGCATGGAACATCTCGAACCATCAGAGTGTAGGGTTTATTAGGGTTTAGGGTGTCCACGCCTTACACCCACATTCAGAAGTCAACAGCTCGAACATCGTGAACACATTCCCAAAAACACCCTTTAATCCCTCACCAACTCCCAAACCCCGTAGCTCAAAGTCCTTAAACCCTATAAACCCCTAAACCCCTCAGCCCTATACTTAAAGGATCGTGGGACAGAGTAAGTAGGGTTATAATTAGGGTAACTATACTTATAACCCCAATTAAGGGACTTATAACCCGACTTACTGAGTCCCATGATCCTCCA